TTTCAAAGATAAATGAGCGACGTAATCGCTCTTAACTTGTTCTTCAGCCATTGTTGCGTACCTACGCAATTAACAAACAGGGAAGTTACTCATTGTTTGGTAAATTGAAACACTGCTGTAATCATTGTCGAAAAAAGAAGTGCTATGAAAATCGCATAAACAAAATCAATGTTTATGATGTGTTGACATGAAAATGATTGATAACGAGTATTCACTGGTACTGCGCTAGTAGTAATATTGACAGTGATATAGGAGAAGTGTTATTCTTTATCGCGAAAGTTTTTATCATTGCCGTCATCACGGCGATGACGGCAATGATAAAAACGTTGTTGATGACGAGATGTGACTAGAACGCTAATCGTTGATAATGCTGACGGGAAATCAATAGTCATGATGATCATAATAGCAATAAAATGAATAATCATAAACAATTATCACATCATATTATTTGCTATCATAAACACGACGGCTATAATAATGAATAATATCATAGGATGACACTATTTCACAGTCGGTCTCGAGTGAAATTTTTTCCAACGAACAGGAATTGAACCCACGAAACTGAATAGTGTACCTGTGTCTCAGATGTTGCCGAGACTGAGTCAGGCTACGATTTGGCTTGTAATTAACTAATCATAATACTAATTATATTCAGAAGCACTCACATTTAGAGCCTTGATAGCTGACGGCAAATGTCGTGAACGCAATGCTGAACCAGTAGAAAAACGGCAAAGCGATAAGACCACACCGGAACGGATTGTTCTATAAAAATCACACCATTTCAACAGGAATGGATAAATCGCCATTGAGTTTACCCAAACGAATTGCTCGCTCAGTGCAGTTTTACTCAAATAAATTACTCGCCTTACAGCCAACAGTCACAAACACTTTTCTTAANAACCGATGCAATTCCAACTTCTACTTGCCCTGACAAAATGAAATCATTTCGAATTCTTAAAACAATGAATCGAAGCATAATTTGCTCAATCATGTGCAATTGCAAGTTGTTTTCGTCGTTCTTTCCACCATTTTTTTTTCAAATTAACAGTATGTAATGATAAAACGTAAAAATTTCAATTTTACTTCACTGAATTCGAAATTTCATGGAATTCATATTATCACGCATGAAAACTGCACCGCAGTGAGAAAAACTCGTTTGAAAATGAGAGCTCAAGCTTGCGACGTTGTTCTGTGAGCTATTACACGACCATAAAAATTTCGGGTCATAGACCTTTTAATGATGTCAACTGATCTTATCGTCGTAATCAATGTGATGTTCAAAATGAATTCATCGATTTGGAACTTACTCTTCTCAGCACGACCCAATCGACTATCATATATAATATGCTCGAGACGATTCCGGAGAGAACGGGCGATATGAACCATGAGGCAACTAAAACATAGCAGCGCCATTCAAGGCTTGATTTCAAATTGCATTAACTGCATTTTGCATATAACTGCATTCTCAGTTGTACTAGATGTTATGAGATTTGGCATTGCGGATATCAGTGAAAATATTCCTTCAGATTGCTGACTATTTGACAAAACTGGATGCATTGTCTCATGTTCTCAGCTGCTACTTCGCTTCTTCGGTTGTTTCCAGTTGCTGTTTTGCTTACTTAGTAAGCGAAAATAATGTTCTAGTTCATTCCTTGTTAAATAGCGTATCGCATGAACTTGCATTCTCATCAATCCCATCGCGATGAAACTATTCCAGTTGTATTTGTTTGTTTCAATATCATATCTCATGAGTGATTTGCCTATGGCAAATATGTGTTGGCTNACTTTAATCCAGTGAATGCCTTTTGTACCCATCGTAACCAGACCAAACCCAACCGTAGCACCTGTTATACTGTGTGTGGTAGATACAGGCAACTGAGCGAATGTAGCGATCAAAAGCCATCCAGAACATCCTAAAAATTTTACATCATCCTCCAATTGCAGTCACTTGGCTTAATATTGGTGCTCTCATTGCTAGCATCAGTGTTATTGTAATGATTGTCCCTATCATTCTCTTCCTTAAGAGCAACATCGTCCATATTTTCACTATTATAACTATTATGATTACCTGCAAGAATGGCTAGCTGTCCTAGGAAGAGTACCTTTGGTTCATTTTGATATAGTTCTACATCGATGACGCCCTTTCGAATTGTATCGGTGACATTATATCCTTAAAATTACAAAACAATTCAGTGTATTCCATCAAGATACACTTGCATTAACGCAGGAAATTTTCTGTTTTGCTCGATGAAAATTTTAACTTCGCTCTATGTACAAGCGATTGATTTCCAGTGATGCAATTTGCTAAACGTTCTACAGATCAAGCGGAGAACGCCTTACTCAAACTGAACAAACAACACATCAACGAGAACGTCGTCAACTAACCAACAAGAAGTGCTCCAAGCGTTTCGAAAATAGTCGCCAGGATATAAGCCTGCGTTAGAGATAAAACTCCACTTCCAACCGATGTACCGAATGCGTTCGCCACATCGTTTGCGCCCATTGCAAATCCGAGCACAAACGCCAGAATAATGCCGACAACCAAAGCCCATAGCACTTGGCTCTGAAAAGTTTTCCAACCCTTTCATCTTTCCAGCTACTTCTTCCTTATATTCATTCACCAAAAAAATTCACTCATTCGGCTTTTCTTTCAGAAACATTTCAGTTAACTTTCGCTAGTCTGTATNATTGCGTATTTCATGAAATTGAGTGTTTGAGATGACTTACACGAAATTCGGCGATCGTCAATTGGGTTATTGCGGTTGTTAGTGAAGAAGCGATCGTTGATAGATCCATTATGGTTCTCTGCAAATCACATTTATTCACATTTCAAAACGAATATGATGGTGTAACATGATCTCGGCAAATGATTAAACAAGAAGACAGTGGAATCGGTTTGTTTACTTTTTGTAGCAATGAATAGCACAAATTCAAGTGCTTTTAGGAAATTAAATGGCATGCAGGCCGGCCCGAAAATATCATATGAACACAAGAAAATGCGATATGGAACGACCACGCGCCACCACATTCAAGACATTCTCTCCTAATGAATAGATGATTTATATGAAAACATTCAGACAAACTCGAACCATTCATGGCAACAAATTTGCATCTTTTGGTTTCTTTCAAATTTTCAGCTTATTCAAAAATTACACGACAGCATGAATGTTTTATGATGAATCAGTTTCATTTTGAGCAAATTTGTGAGACATCCCAAAATGTTGAATGTTTCACTCGACAAGCAAATGAAACTTGAGTCCTTTGAAGTGTTCGAATCGAAAAAAAGATTCAGTTGACATGGTCGAAAAAGGCTAATTGCGCATAAGTTCAATGAATAGAATAAGTTGGAAAATGTGAAAAACAAGTGAATGGCGACTGTTTGCAGTCTTCGTGCAGGTGTGACAATAATTGGTCGCATTCCGATGAACTGTACTCTACTGAACAGCGATCGTGAAAACGGCTGAACAGATGAGCTGTAATCATAATTGGGAATGCTGAAGCGACAGTGCTTAGTGAGTGGTTCGTTGCCGGCTTTTGTACGACCAAAATTCCCACCTTCACAAGTGATCATGCTAGGAAGTTCTGACTGAGAACTTATGCGGAAGGCGTGGCTGGACTGTTGAATTTATTCATTCATTCCACACGCATTCCAGTACAACAATAGTAACAATAATGATAATAATAATAATTCTGATATTACTCATATCATAACAATATACAATAACAGAGTAGCGCTCAGTCGCTGTTCGATTCAATGCATCATGTACAAAGTGAATATTTCCATGACAAGCTTGCGTTTATACGTGTTTCCGCATAGAGTTGCATACGATTCTCGTGATTCGGTTCGATTTCGATCAACTTTCGAAGTACTTTTTCTTTAGAAGACACAAATTCTTTTCATCGTTTCGGTGTTTGGAAAAAGAAATTTCTCTTTTTATTTCGCTCTTATCTGTCAAGGAAATACGTCATTTAACATCTATTATTTGTTGTTTTTTCAAATATTCGACGAATGCGAAGACTAGCGACGAGCGATAAATTTGACGTTTACTAAATAGAGCAGATAAAAAATTTGATGCAAATACGATGGAATGAAAATTTATTGGTTTGAGACGCTACTATCATATACGGAGTAGTTCAGCTTTTAAAGAAAAATAATGTTTACATTAATGTTTACATTTATAGATAGAATCTGATACCATTGAGAGACTTATTGTAATCAGCTTACAATTTTTCTGCCACTCGATCTTGAGCATTGTTCAAGAGCATCCAATTGTTCATTGTAAAACAGTAACCGAAATCTTATAGTTAGTGCTAAATAACACAACATTTTGGGAATTGTACAAAATCACAAAGTAATATCTATGTATAAAGACTGTAGATTATTAAATAAGTTCCAATATGAAAGGATTCGTTTGATTCAAAAGAATCTGATCTATTTTAACAAGGCTTTATTTTAACAATGACAGAATAGTGGGCTACAAAGTGTTTTTAGTTATTCTGCTCGTGTTCTTTAATTCCATTTTAATGATGTTTGCAGATGCTTAGAATTCGAAAAATATTTTGAAATCAAAAAATGAACTTTAACTAACAAATACATAATCTCGTCATTTCAATGGATCATCGCCCATTATTGAGACTGAATTCACTGTTCAACCTCTGGCCTCATTAAAGAATTCATCGCGGTGATCCTAATGAGATCATTTTTGACATGATACTGTCAGTAATCGAGAAACTGAGCTCAGTGATGAGGGTTGAATTGCCCGAATACTTTTGTTCGAGCCATTCAATAACTATTTGATTCTTGCGCAAAAAAATTTCCAAAACTCAGGAAACTTCCAAATTCGATGAAACTATTTTTCTGCAAAACAATTTCACGATGAATCATTATTTAGCATGAATGCTAACTATCAATTCAATGTGAATAATCGAATTCGAAATACGACTATTCGAATTGATGTGTATAGTATTTCTAATAGACCAATGAGTAGCTATTGCGTTGTTAACCGAAAGTTGAAATGACGATCATATAAACGTTACAATCAATGAATCATGATAAATCTACCGGTTTCACACGGAGATTATAATTGGTAGCTATTATGTGCTCGTATATGTCGGTGAATGGAGATTCATTTGGTGTGATCTAAATAAGGATAGTGTACTTTTGTTATTCGAAATTTGGCTTTAAAAATGTGATTGTTGACTGATTGTGGAATTTTTTCAAACGAATCGGCGAATAATTTTCACGAAAGTGAACTTTGAACTGTTTTTTGCTAATCAAAATGCTTTTTTTTACTGAAATTTTTATTTATTCTGGAGAAGAAATGCGAATGAACGATTGAAAAAAACAGAAATTCTACAGGCATTTTATGGTCTGATACAAAAATTTCGTCGACGTACAAGAATTTCACGATTGGTTGGCAATGTAAACTGGCTTGGATAGAGGTGAATCGAATGCAAACAATTCGCTCTATTCATCATCAAAAAAATCGCCAAAGTTATCAGAATAATTTAGAAGGAATTGATTGAGCGAATAATATTTGGTTGAGCGAATATTATCTTTTCAAAACGAATTAACATCAGTTATGGAAATGGATGAATTTATAGGTCGTACTGAATCATACGGAGCAACAGATCTTCAAAAACTGCGGGTCATCCTCTTATATAAAACAATGTTGACTTCACCTATCAGAAAGAACAATTATGTTATCGTATTCGTTCGTTTTTCAGGTGACTTTTTTGAATACACTTCGAGAAAGTTTTGAGTAGCAAATCGAGTAGCAATGTCGAGAGGCTGTATAACAATGGAAAGAGTATTTTTTCGGAGACTCTGTCAAGATCACTGCGGATGAATTTGTTTGTAGAGAGATAAATTCTCACCAAAACCAATATTGAATGTTGACTTTCCTTCTTGAAAAGATCGATTATGTCATCGTGTTTATTTGCTTTTTAGGTGACTTTTTTTTCAGGTGACTTTTGGTCACTTTTGGAGCGACCTCATTTCAAAGTGACTGTTTGCTTCTTTATCTAAAAATGTTCCACTCTACAAAGAAACTCTCCAATTTCAGTGTGTCAATGGAAATATTTACACTTGATTAAGCGCTTCATGTTTCAAAGTGTATGAAAATATTTCCTCTTGACAGGTGTACGATCTGAAAAAGAGAACAATCATTTGAGAGATGTGATCGTAGACAGATGAATTTTTAAAAATGAGCTAGAGCAATAAGTTTGGTGGTAGTGTTCTCGTTGAATAGCAGGAAGGAGTACGGTTCAGCTGATTCAAGTG